TCGGGCTGACGGAACGTAAACCAAAACCTTTCATTGTTTATATGAATACCTTGTGGACTTCTGTTTTCAGTTTGCTCAGTGCAGACACCACACACGGTCTTGGACTCATAAATCAGGCTTTCAGGAGGTGACGGTGAAAAGATCCGTTTGAAGCATCTCATTGTTGTTTGACAGAAAATGTGTTTTAAATTACGGCTCTGTAAATGAAATGTAGGTTAAACAGGGACACGTTTTGGAGAACATTATGCTGCAGGTTACCAAAATATAGCGTGAGACTAAACGTGCGCTGTAAGAGCCAGAGAGAGAATGTCCCCTGATAAGTATGCAGTAACATGGTGTTCATGCCGCACTATAAGGTGCTGAACTCCAATCCCCCATCGCTCAAACCCCTCGGCACATTCACAAACATGCACTCAAGCACACTCTGAGGACAACTTGTTAACAGCACATGGGGGGGAAATCCTTTCCTCGCACTACACTGGCCCAATTCATTCCACTTTTAATCCGCTCTGTGCTCTCCGTCTAATTTGGTCCTGGCTTCTTATACATGTCTAAGTCACAGTGAGTTAGTGAGGCAGGCTACAAAAGACCGGCGATAAACACAGGCTTTTACTACGCCCTCAACCTCCGACGTTCTTGAAAGTCACTTCTCTTTCCAGCATCCAAGACCAGGTTGCATTTATACTCTTCACATGTAGACAATGAGATGAAGAAAGGCAGGTTTTGATATCAGTGTTTCACAGCGTTTACTTAAATACCCCCATGTTGGTGAAAATCAAGTTTTTATGTTGCTAATGAGTCCATGTGGTGGTTTTTTCATGTACTGGAAGTAATATCACAAGCAAAACAAGCAGTCAAAGTCATGGCTGAACATTTCTATTATCACCCTCAACCAACATCCAAAACAAAAAGTTGTAGCTCACTTTCACAAACACTCTCTCACTATACTGATATTATTTTATTTTAAATGTTATATCTGCTATATTTTATTTCACATGTGAAGAACCATGGGGACTTGTGTAAGAGCTACTGTTGACTCTCCTATCTCATTTTATCCTGAATACAATGACGATAAAGGATTTCTTCTTCTTCTACTTCTTCTTCTTCTTCTTCTTCTTCTTCTTCTTCCTCCTTTAAACTGTCATTGTGCAGGACGTGGTTTCATTATTCCTCCTGAGAATCACTTTACAACTTAAACACGTGTAGCTGAATTGCTCCAGCGTTACAACTCGCCATCGTGTAGCAGCTTTACAGTGCTGGAGCAGAGTCATAGGCGGGCAGGTAGGAATTTCATACGTCCTCACATTCTAAAGGAAGTGTAGAGTTACATCCGAGCCATTTTAAGGCAGGAAGGGATTATTTTCATCATCATGGAAAAAACTTCTTAATATGTAACTGATACACAGACATGCGTTTTCAGGGGTTAAATCAATGACTGGTGAGAGACTTTTAAAGGTATGACAACTGTGTGAACTCAGACATATTTATACTTAAACCCATTTGTGGATCAGATAGCATCTTTATTTTTTAAAGCATTTCACTACTTGATGTGTGATTATTTCTGCAAATTTCCTGAAATTTAATATGTTTCAGTGT